CTTCTATTAAAAGTATTTTAAAGAAAATTATACTGGCATAGTGTCAATGTTTTATTGACCAAAAAAAAAGTATTTAAAATGTTTAATAAATAAAATAAAAGGCAAGAAAGGAGTACAACCATTTACTTGTTCAGTTATGAATTCCTAGTCGTTTTGTCATTTGTGATTTACTGCTGTTAGCACATCTGTTGGAAACTGAAAATGAAATTATCTCTCTCAGGTGAGCTCCATGCGTCCATCTGTGTCAGTTTACTTCCTTCACTGGCAGTCTTTGTGTAGCGGTAAACAACTGTGCTAAGTCTGCTCTGTTCTATGCTGAAACTGATTTTATTTTGCGCTTAATTTATATCCCTTTTCCACTTTACATATTTTTCGTCACAAGTAGATTTGCATTCTACTTAAATCAGATCAAGGGCTTTGCTTTGGCTAACTGAGGCCTATAAGAATCTGCTCAACCAGAGTAAATGTGGATTGACTCCCATCCCTCAAAAACTCTTTTTAAAATACAATCAGTGCATTCCTTGAAATCTTCAAGGAGATTATTCTGTGAAAGGGGAGGGGGAACATTAGATTATGCTTTATCTGTATGCGGAGCTTGATGCTCATTAAGATCATATGCTTCAGTTGTTTCAGATATGTGTATGCGGTGCATGTTTATTAACAACTCCTTTAATGTCTGGCAGTATATCTTAAACATCAGTGTAGTATAACATCAAACTATGCTTCTAGTTTTATTATGTTCATGCATGACTGGTACCTAAGGGAGAAAAAGAAATTTATTATATAGGAAGGTGTGTTTATGGTAAGGGCAGCTGCAGCCTTGATTTGCACAAGGAGGCTGCATGGTTGCGTTTAGACGCAAACACATGTACTATTGTGGGCACATGGGGGTGCAGACGTCCCCATCATTTCCTTAGCTAAGCTTTGGCTGCTCCCAATCCAAAGAAATTATGGAAGAATGAAATCCAAATCCTGACTGAATTTATGCCATAGAGCTTTTACTTTTTAAAGTGTATCTCCATCTTTCATTCTGAGTTCTGCTCTGGTCCATGCCAAGCTCTATTTTGAGATTTCCTATATTAAAACTTCGCCATTCTGAAATTTTGAGTGCAGTTAATAAGCATATACACGGATAATGCAAGGCAGATTTACCCTACATCTCCTCTTTGTGGAGATGATTTTGCAGCTTTTTCCACCATATCTTTTGAGGTCCCCGGAGGAGGACCACAGGAGGACATATGCTCTTAATCTAAAGCAGGTGTACATGGCATCTATAGAGGCACGAAGCTATTACACCCACAGTCCCATTGTACTCTCTCCTTATTAACTCTTAATGTGCTCCGCTCAAGGAGACTGCCTTTGCTTGGGTTGTGCAGCAGTCTGGCTGCCGTAGCACTAATTCCTTTCTCATAAGATATTAACGGAGATGCTAATGAACTATGTGTACCTACCTTTAAACAGTGAATCACCTACATATTAACGTTTTTCATTGTGCTAAGTTAGTTAATATTAGTTACAATGTGATAATCCATGTTCTTTGTTGTAGAATAGGTTGAAAAATGGGCAAATAAGTAACAAAAAATATTAGCTGAATTAACCCTTGTAAAAAAAATTGAAACATTTTGAGTGACTGAGTTGTCTCCTTTTACTCCAGTTGATTGCTGAACTTCTTGCTACCATTTGTTGTGCAGCCACGGCTGTGTGTGGCTGCATGTTGAACTGGTTTAAGGAACTGAGTAGGTGTCAATTTATGTCCTAAGGTTTCCACTGCTATGAATTTCCTTTTCTGCTGTTGTGACCTTTAATGGCAAAGTAGAATATAACTCTTGAACTTCGTAGATCTGAAAAGTTTCATTAATAATTTTTTTTCCTGTAACCTTTCAGATTTTTAGCATGAGTTTAAAAAGATTTTATGATCTCAGAAATTGCTAAAGTAAATATAGAGACCTGCTCACATGAAACATTGATTTGCATATTTTCTGCCAGTGCGTATTCTGTTTTTTTCCTAATGATTAAAGCATTCATGCTGCTAGTTTATAACAATACACAGTTGTAACTGACAAATATTATTCTCCTTGTTTTAATCTTAGACACACAAATATGTCCTGAATAACAGAAGTCAATCCATACATAGTTTTCCAATAAAGTGACTGAGAAAACATCTGGCATTGGAATATCTTTTACTAAAATTGCTTTAGTCTAACAAATAGAATCCCTTCATTGGCTTAACATTTAATTACCAATTGATTGGTTTTATTCTACTCCTTGAGTGTGGTAGTGGCAGAACCTCTGCTAGTTTTCAACTTTTTTTTTAATTTCTTATTAAATAGAGGTGTCTCTATAAATCATTTGGAATAAGGCATCCATAATATCCCTAACAGAACAGGCCTTCCTTCAATTGTCATCACATATTCTATTTGCTTATAATACAGTGGTTCTTGGCTATAGGAGATTTATAGGCAGAAAGCAGACTCTTCAGGAAAAAAAAAAAAAAGCTATGGAGAATTTCCTCTAAAGTCTTCAGGGAAACTTTGTCCACAGTTTGACATTTAGATTGACGTACTGTAGTTTCGTTTCTAGCCATCCATCTCTGAAATACCCTACACGTTTTAGGAGGTTAGCTTGTAAAGTACTTGAGCTGTTAAAACCCATTAAAAATTGAGTTTCCCAGTACTCTTTGAAGATGTTAATCTCTTCTTATATCAGAACCCATCATGAAAATAGATGAGAATCTAAGATCTCTTTAAAATTTGGCAATGTATTGGGCATGTAATACTAGGAGATCATAACTCCATCTTTTATGGCTGCTTACATTTCTTTTTAAAAGATCTTGTTAATTGCTTGTAGCTTTGCCAGACTCTATCTAACAGGTTGGGCTGAAATTTTCCACTGAAAAAAAAGAAAAGACAATATGGTTTCCTCATTTCCTTTATGCTAAATGAGCCAAGGGCCTGTGGGGAAAAATAGTTTGCAGTCAAATAATTAAACATTATGTCATAAAGCGTACATCCAGGGAGAGGAGGTAAGGAGAGCATATAACTTGAATTCTGGCTTTTCCTGTCTTTTCAAGACTTTTCTTCAGGACTTTGTTGTTTTGTGCTTAATAAGATATAATGTGATGTCACTTATTTGCAGTGTTGGCATACTGTAAATGGCCATAAGACACCTGAATTTGATCCTGGCTTTGTTTAATTTGTATGTTTATGTTTGCAAATGCCATTTTAGTTTGGCCCTGACGAGCAACACAATGACTTGTGTGCTTCTGGGACTGGAGTAACTACTGCTTCTTTGTATATAATCACATATCCAAGACCAGTGAATGAGTGTGATCCTTGAACTGCAGATCTTTGAATTAGAAATCCTGGTCTTCTGAATTGACAGGCTTGCACTCCTTTTTTGGAAAAACTTGAGCTGCTCATAAAAATCATGTTGCTGCCCTAGCCATGGCCCAGGGTGACTTCTCACTCTATATCACACTCATATGTTATCTGAGGGCAGTGGCTTGGTCATGTTACACACACTGTGCCCTATGCCCTGAAACTCAAAATTATGTCCCACTTTTAGCCTGGGATTCCTATCCTCTGAGGACAAAGATAGCGAACAATTTCGCTGGGCCTTGTTCAGTTTTCTTTTATTGAGACAATCCTCTGTAGTCCCAATAAATACTCAGGGTGAAGTACCTCCCATGATACAAGAGTTCCTTCTGTTTTGTTTCTTTGAGCATATAGGTGGTACCTTTTTCTGTGAGTTTCGGGATTGTGATAGTGGGCATCAAGCTTGAGCAGAGCGTATAGGTCCTCTCTTTCTCTTGCCTTCACGGCTTTTCACTTCCATGTAGTGCAGAACTGGGGACAGTGGCTCACCTGGAGATGGCCTGGCCATCCCCTGCTTGGGTCAGCCATAGCCTTCTCTTGATCCTCCGGTGGTGGCTTTGGATAAACTGTGACTGTATACATTGGGGAAAATATTAGCCGTTTATTCAGAAAGAATTGGCTGGTGAGCTGCTGAAGGCTTCACTGCACTGTAGGCATTTTCTCTCCGTCATTGACTTGAACAGGGATATGTTTTTATCTAGAGCCCTTGAAAAAGATCCGTGTAAATGCAGAGCGTTAATCAGAAAGCTGCCATTCTTCACTGTTACTTAATTTACTACTTACTGCTTATTTCCAACCTTTGAGAAATTTGATTGTATTGTTTCTTAGAAACAAATCCTGTCTTCCTCAGTAGGTTAAATTCATTCTCAGTAATTTGAAGTACTCTCTGTACTACAGTGCGTGGCTCTCTAACTTCACATTCTTCTGTTGTCCTTGTACGTTGGCTGCTTCAGCCTCCAGCAGTAAAGGATTTTAATTTGAAAACGAGTCCGGCTTTAGTCATTTTGTACATGGCTCCCTAAGATTAGCCAATTTAAAATTACTGATGCTATATTCTAATTGAATTTAATTGTGGCAGGTGACCAAACTTAATTATGCTCTGAGACTAGCTTTGTTTTATGTCTTCCCCTTCCTCACGTGGAGTTTCAAGACTGTTTTCTTAACCTTCCCTAGTTTTTTTAAACAAAGTTCCTGATGTATTATGGTTAAATGCAAGCACATTCTGTATTCTCCATTGCACTCCATGCTGTGCAGTGTAGACTGATGGAAAATAGCTTTTCTACAATAGATGTGATAGAATTTCTGTTACTTTGTGACTTTTGATTGATACTACGCAGCTGGAGCTCTCACTTGCAATTCTGTTCCAACAGGACTTTCATCTCACTCATGCTCTTTTATCCCTAATAAGGCCGTAACTCAGAATCTCCTCACTGAAGTGTCTGTAAGGCTATTTATTTTATATATTTTCTTTTAATTGTAGGCGTTAGAAGCGTTTCACCCTTTTCAAGATCTCTGCCCATTCAGTAAGCAGCAAATCATAATGTAAAACTATTTGCACATCTTAAATGAAATGATAAATCGACAGAAGTCTTGGGTATTCTCACTCGCTTTTGTTTCACCCTGTAGGAGAAGCCTACATGAGAATGAGCCGGCTGCCGGAAGCAGAGCACTGGTATGTGGAGTCACTGAGATCCAAGAGCGACCACATCCCAGCGCATCTCACCTACGGAAAACTTCTGGCTCTAACGGTGAGTTAATCAGCTGCTACCCGGGGTCGGTCTCAGGCCTTTCAAGTTGCTGAGGTAAAGGAATGGCAAGACCTCAGCCTTAAAACTGCGTATTGCGTTATTTATCACTGCGTTTCAGTAGTGCCTTCTACTTAAGGAGTTTGGCAGGGAGGTATTTGTGAAACATTTTATCCATTACTGAAATACTCCCACCTGTGTGCTGGAACAAAACAGTTATAGTTGCGTGTAACAGGTCATACGTTATGAAGCTATAGTGGCGCTTTGTAACAGGTAGTAAGGAGTTCTGTTTGACTGAAAATGACTTTATTTTAAGTAGTTTAGATCACAAGCGCTGATATTAATATAAAAATATATTTTAATAGGAATCCTAAGGCATCTTAATGTTAATTGGATTAGGATTCCTTTTATAAATGTTTTCGTAACATTAATTAGACTATGATATTCAAAAGTATATTGGAATATTATCTTCATTCTGCAGATATAAAAGTTGTGCTATAGAGGAGTTCGGAGTTTAGCCTGAACTAGCAGTCTATGGCAGAGCTGGGAGCGTAACCTGTACTTCCCAAATTGCGTGTCTCATGCTTTGAATTACACTTCTTAAGGAGTACCGCTTTAAGCGTATAACAAGAACGAGTTAGGTATCTTCTAAGACGTACTTCTACAAAAAAGAAGTCAGGAGAGTTGGACTTTTTCATATCTTCAAAATTTACTTGCCATTTTGAACCTAGATGAACTTGTAGCCCCGCTTAAACTAGCTCTGTGTTACTTATAGCACAGCGCCAATCCCTCCTGAATTTTCACATATTTTTTAGATGAAAATGAATCTTCATTTTCTTTATGAAAATAATTATTTTCTAAATTGTTTTCCATTTCTCATTATTCCCATTTTTCTGACCATATCCTCTTTCCTGTCCATGTTGTGTTTTTCTCTTCCACGTTTTGTTTTCATCGTTCACCCTAGCAGTTTCACATTTCCTTCCTATGCTCTATTGATACCCTTAATCTTTGTGCCTCAGTCAGAATAGCCTCCTCAACTTTTCACCCAGCTATAAGCTTTCACTCTGACCTTGCTTATGCCCTATCCAATCTTTCAGCAAAAAAGACCTTGGCCACCGTAGGGAGATTCAGTTAAGAAAAATAGTTCAGATTAATTGCCGGCAGATCCGTTGCTGCTAAAAGTAGCTGAATTTGGAAAAGGAGGAGGAGGTTAGAACAGAAGGATTCTGTGTGAGCAACAAGTGACAACGTAATTAGGAAGAGTTAAACATTGTTAAATGTTGTCAAATGATGTCAAATACAAAGCTTGATTTTAAAAAAAAAAAACTGTATGGATGAGAATCTTTAGCTTCTACTGGAAGTTAAGCTGTTAGCGTTATATCCCCACTGCCCATCACATTCAACTCTGGAAAGACAGTTTCTACTGTTTTTTTGTTTTACTGTAATCTCCATTTCCAGTTAAAATTTCTCAGATACTGACAAATATATGCATGTAGTGATGACCTTCCTCTAGAATAGAACTGTAAGTAGACTATACAGTAAAATTTCCTAATTGAGCTTGCTTTTCTGGTTGATATCTTTGTATTTTGCACCTGAGAGTAATATCAGAAAGTCAGCAGTATGGGTTTCTTTTTAGAAGTTCTCTGAGACACAAAACTTCTTATTCAAAAGTTCCCCCCCTGTGGTGGAGGAAGGAAGAGGTGTCTCAATTAAAATATAAATCTCTCTCTTTTTTTTTTTTCCTACCCCTGACTCCCTTGTGTTTTTTTGGATATTTTTTGAATTGCTGAGTTTATGAAATACAAGATCTGCTAGAGAAAGTCTTGAAGTTTCTGTGGGAAAAAAAGTCCCTCGGTTTTCTTTAAAGAACAAAAACAAATTTCATAATTTCTTGCAAACAATGAGCGCCACTAAAGATTTTCTTCTTAATTTTGTCTCCTCATTATGAAGGTTTAGCAATAGAATTAAATGTTAGTGGCATACTCCTACTTTGGGAAGAAAGTGATGAAAAATGTACACAAATTCTTCAAGCAGAATTAAACTGTTTACATTTCTCCAGGGATAAAAACACAAGATACATGTGAGGTGGTTTGTGCCTTGAGGATCTGAACTATGTTTATGAAAGAATGTGTCTCATTAGCAAAAATGACAGGAGCTGTGTACAACTTTGAACACTGAATACCTCACCATGATAGACCAATAAAATAATCTGCCTCTTCTTTTTCAACGCATGCTTGCTTACTAACACCTGCTCTTTGCCATAATTTTAATCTGTTCTCATCAAAGTTATTTATTGTCATCTCTTGACGCGTTTTTCTTTTATCAGTCTCACTTCTTCACGTATTCAGGGTAGCAGGTATAGACAAGGTTCATGTCCCTTCCATTAACAGCAGCCTAAGCTGAAAAGACAGTGCTGATGTCCTTCCCATAGTGATGCAGGATTTCATAAACACGTAAGCAAGAAGATGACAGTGTAATTAGAGCTGGAGGCATATTTTTCAGCTGGATATTTTGTTCATGAGAAAAAGTGTTTATTTGTCTTTATTGAAATTTGGGACTTAATTCGTCTAATTCTTTCAGCTACAAAGTCTGAAAAGACATTCAACAAAAAATTGGATGAAGAAGAGATTTGGCAGTAGAGTATGAATTTTTGTCCCCATGTTGGAGATTTACCCTTAATCAGTTTTGCAGCCTACCATCTGCTCAGTTATTCACATGAAATGAATTTTGACGAGTTTCTAGTACACTGGACTGTACTTGTGTAAGTTCCCATAGTATGTATGTGATTGCCGTAACTGACATACGTATTAGAAGTCTACATAGACTCCCTTGGGATTCAGTACAGTTAGAGCTACTCCCTTTGGCATAGTTGTTTAAGCACCTAACATGAGCTACCTCTGCAATTTCTTCTTCTATTAAATTTTACTACCTAGACTCACTGTCATATTCACAGCCTGTGTATTTAGGACAGAGAAAAGCCTACTGTAGTTAATTTTCTGATGTAAGGGCAGAGGTGTTTTGGAAGCATTTTTCCTCTCATCTGTTGTTGTTTTTTTTTTTTTTTTTGAATCAAAATTCTGACTACTTCTTCCTTTTTTTGAATGCTCAATGCTGACACAAAACTATTGATAATGTTTCTCTATGTCTTTTTATCACACCTCTTTCCTGGAAAAGTGGAGGGTGAAAACAGGTCCTCATGTAGATAGAAAAATCTTCTCTATCAGTGAAATTGGCAGGTGAGGGGAGGAGGCAGGTTTCAGGCCAGCTCCTAAGTTCCAGCCAAAGGCAATTGCACTACATAAAATCCCAGCAGTAAAATCAAACCTGTAAAATTCTCAAATTCAGTAATGTTTTACTTCCTGACTTAAACTGCAATGGAGTGGCTTAATTTTAACCCCAACTTTTCTGCCTCCTGAAGCCTGTTGCCAGTATTAACACCTACTAAGAGCAGCATGACATGATTCATTTATTCCCTTAGTGCCAGTCTGGGTGGCTGGACCAGCTTCTTGTACCTGCTGTTTTCTTCCCTGTCCTATAAGCAACTGGGAGGGCAACGTATGCCCAGTGTATTGAGATTCACAAAACTGTTTGCTGATGCAGCAGGCTTTAATTTCCCAAGTTTCAGCAAAAGCTTTCTGCAGTTTCATACCCATGGACATACAAACAAACGAGCATTCTAGAGTGTGAGCCATCGCTTTTGTTCATGTTGCATGGCCGCGATTCATCAAACACAAACTAGGAACTGCACATATGAAAACCATATTTTCTAAATTCACAATGACCTATGCCTGCCTTTTTTTTTTTCTCCCCCTTCTCTTCACTAATGGGTTCTACAGCACAGTTTAAGATAAAGGCCTTGTACACTAGATGAATTTATTATCTTAGCAATGAAGAAGAGATATTTTTTTATTGCCAACTTGAACAATAACTTGCATGAGCAATCTGGTCTAACGCCAGTGTTGGCCCTGCCTTGCGCGGGAGATTGGACAGGGTGATATCTTGAGATCTCTTCCAACATGAGTTGTTCTATGATTTTATATATCTGCCTTTCTTTCTATGCTGAAGTCAGTTCCAATGTATTAAAACGCGCTGTTATGAATCAAAGTCCTGGGACTCACATGTATTTCATATTAAAACCTGTTATTCTCTCTAGCTGAAAAGAGATTTTTAAGCTGAATTAGCTGCTGCTTGAATGTGTTACCTTTTTTGAGATCATGAGCTGCATCATTTTTACAGCAGTGAAAAAGGTAAATCACAATTCATCCAGGGTGGTAAACTTAAAATGATTGTAATCATGCTGTAAGTGGTAGATATTAATTCATGTCATCATCTGAGGCTGATTTTTGCCAGCTTCTGATTTGCATGTAGCTAATGTCACTACTGTTCCGAAGGGCAATTTACATTTTCATCTTGCCTTTTTTTGAGATGAAATCAGCCACAGAAAGCAGAAGTCTAATCTATGCTATTAAATTTTCCTTGTGCTAATTCTTTTGGTTTTGTGCATGCTCAGTATAAGCACATACAATTTGTAAATAATTTCATTCATGAACTTACATATATTCCAGCAAGTCTTTAAAAGACGACACAGCATTTTCTTCTTTCTGTGCCACATTCTCTTTCCTCCAAATGAACATTCTCAATGTCTTTGAGGATATTAATAAGCAGTTTGCTTACTTTTACAAAAGCTTTAATGAATGGTTCAAAATATCTATTCAAGAACAGGAGAATTCTTGAAGCAAAGATTTTTTTTTCTTTTTTGAGTTTAGGAGTATGGGAAAGTTGTCAATATAGAGCAATATGAGACAAATCTCTGACTGGCCATTAGACAAACCTGAAGAAAAATATTTTCTCCGAAATGTAGCCAAATTTTGCGTGCGTGTATCCAGAACTCTGGAATGATACAAAATCAAAGAAACCCGATGAAAGCAAAAAGTAAAAAGTGTAATAGAAATCCAAATAAAACAAGCTTCCCATCTCCAAAAGCCTTGTTTTGATGACAAACT